GAACCAGCCACATGTCTCCCCGTGCTGGGCGGCAGTCATGGCTGGTGCGGCGGCCAGCGGGAGCATCGCTCCCCGGGAAGCCGAACCGGCCACATGTCTCCCCAGCCCGGGCCGGACGGCAGTCAGGCATGAAGCTCGCCTGGCTGCCGCAGGGCTCTCCGCCGCCCGGCCCCACCTCGGCCCCATTGGTGGCACCTTCCTCGGGCACTTTCAGGGAGCCGCCGCTGCTGCCCTCGTTGCTGCAGGAGAAGGAGACCTTGGGATGCGAGGGCGGCGGGGCTGGCGGCGATCGGGACCCCCCCTCGTCGGCACTCCCCGTTGCCGGCGCGGCCTCCCATGTGCACCCGGCCTTGGCGCCCTCCTCCTAAGACGGCGAAGTGGCTGAGGATGCGGTGGGGGCGGCGGCCGGGCCAGGGGCGGCGACGGGGACCCTGACAATGCTGCAGTGGCTGCCACCAGAGCCGCTGCCTCCCGTCCTGCTCCCCCTCCCTGCCCGTTTGGCTGAGGACGCAATGGGGCCGCCGCCACTGGAGCTGCTGCCTCCCGTCCTGTTCCCCCTCCCTGCCCCTCCCTGCTTGTTCGGCTGAAGAAGCGATGGGGGGGCGGCCAGGAGCTTCTACCTTCCGTCCTGCTCTCCCCGCCCGTTCGGCGCCATCTGCCTTTCATTCTCTCTCTCTCTCCTAACCTGGAGGGAGAGGGAGAGAGAGAAAGAGGAAAGAAAGAGAAGAGAAAGAGAGGAGAGAGGGAAAGAGAAAAAGTGGAAAGAGAAAGAGGAAAGAGAGAGAGAAAGTTAGAGGAAAGAGAGGAAGAGAAGAGAAAGAGGAAAAAAAGAAAAAGAAAAGAGAGAAAAAGAGAAAAAGAGGAAAGAGAGAAAGAAGAGAAATAGAGGAAAGAGGAAAGAGAAAGAGAGGAAAGAGGGAAAGAGAAAGAGGAAAGAAAGAGAGAAAGAAAGGCAAGAGAGAAAGAGGAAAGAAAGAGAGGAAAGAGAGGAAGAGAAGAGAAAGAGGAAAAAAGAAAAAGAAAAGAGAGAAAAAGAGGAAAGAGAGAAAGAAAGCGAGGGGGAGAGGAAAGAGAAAAAGAGGAAACAAAAAAGATTGAGAAAAGAGAGAGAGGAAAGAAAGAGGAAAGAGAAGAGAAAGAGGAAAGAGAAATA